TGAGAAATCGCATGATCTCGGTGGTAAATTGGCATAACCAAGATGAGAGATTATGCGACCGCGATATTTCTCTTGTCATCAAGCCATATTACCTCGTATGGGCTGGCATGTGGCAGCATCTTGTCGAAACTACGCATTATCCAAGTGGGGTGCTTCGATAGCCGGCTGCTCCGAATCGAATGGCCTCTCCACAAATATTTTGAGAATTTTCAGGGCCCACATGTGACAATTTTGCTAATATAGATATCCCCCGAATGAGATATATGACTCAAAGCTGAAAAAAATTTTACTCGCTTTTGAATGTTCAGCTGTCTTCAGTTGTAGGTGTAAAAAAGTCCACGCTCTTTAGAGCGTCGATAAATAGACACATTTGGGTCTTCGGCTACAACTTTCACTTCTTTTCTTTTATTGGCGATATTTGATGAGTAGAATGAGGAAAACGATGATGCACAGGTCTTATAAAATCTGTTACCCATTCAGTGTTTTCAAATTTCTTTAAAATGCTTGAGCAGTTTGACGATTATGGGCACCATAATCTTCTTCTAAAGCAGGAAACGTGGCCACGGTTAAGAAACGATTTCGAAAGTGAAAGTAAATGTATAATTTAAACTAAAAATCAAAAAAATTAATTAAATATTACAACGTGGGTATCAAACTGAAGAGATTAAAAAAAGGCTTGATGAGAAAATATTTTTGAGAAGCGTTGCCATCTGTTTAACATTTTTAATTTGAAAGACTTATTAGCTAAGACAGGCATTATGCATTATTACTAATACATTGGTAACATAATAAACATTTTTGAAAGCTGAATAGGGAATACGTTTTTGTAGGGAGTTGCCATCTGTTTAAAAAATTTAGTAAAATAAATATTATATGAACTGAAGATAATTTTGAGAGCGTTCAGTGGGAAATGATTTGAATTAAAATTGTAAATATTGTGCAATCAAATTGCCAATATAATAAATTACATAAATTAATTATTTAATTTTAGGATTTTTCATTGTTTTCCATATTTATTTCGATGTAGCAAATAGAATCTGGATACCGCTGGTAATAAAACACTGTAATGTTTTTGAAGATAGAAAGTGTTTTTTTTTTAATATTAAACGATTTTTTTATTTTCGTGAGCAAATTTAAATTATTTTTAAGTTCAAACAACTGTCTTTTTCTTAGATAAAAGCATTTTAAATAATTCTATACCAAATCAAGGTATATTATATATTTCAAAATACATTATTAGCTATACAAATAAAATATATCCTGTTTACACAATACATACATATGTGAATTATGACCGTATGTGCATGCATAAATACATATGTGTATATAAATATCTGTAAAATATTCTTGACGTCACAAATGGTGTTAACGAATTCAAATTCACAAACATACTAAACACATTAGTATGTAGCTAATTGGAGCAGGTGTTTTGTGCAAACAAACTTACTCATATTGCGGCATTTTAAAGATCTTAATGCAAAGTCGATGGAAAAGAAAAAGAAAACAAATGAAGAAACTTTGATTTTTTTCTACATGGAGAATATATCAATGAAAACAAATATACACTTTGCGGCGTTAGCCGAATGGTTAGAATTACGTACTGCCACTCGAAAGGCCAAGTTTTCCAATCCTGGTCCGTAGAACATCGAAAAATTTAAGAAAATAAATTTAATTAAAAAATAAAATAAATTTTTCCTATTGCATTCCTCATAAAAAACCATCAGCCTTTCGGAGTCGACTTATTAGAAGCTGTAGGTCTCACCATGCACATAAAGGTTACTCATACGCACCATACATTATCATTGCACGGTATCGATATTTCGAAGCAACAATTTTTCAATTTTTTGTGACTGTCGATATTACTTACATATATGAAGCTTTATGAACTAAATCGTCCAAACTTGTCTAGTTTTAGCAATTTCATATCGAAATTCTGAAAGATTTATACGAATTTGCTTTCGAGAAATACAGTCATGATCCTTCAGCTCGCGTGACACATACGGCTATCCATTGGGCTACTGCAGCGAGCAATTAACTGGCAGTAAAAAAACGTGTTCGAGTGAACTATCAAGATTGAGTAACTGTGTGTAAACATATGTACAACGAATTGTTGAGATATTACATCATTATACACATATTTACATACGAAAGAAAATAAAAAATCGTATAATATGACTATATGTATATAGTCATTTTATTTTTAAACGTTTTATGAACCTAAAAGCAAAGACTTCTGAATTATAAATTGTATATGCGATATATAGTTACACCACACGTGTTTGTTTTTTTTAACATTTATTGATATTAACAATAAACCAGAGATGCTTAATTAACGAAACGAATCAATTTTGTTTTGTTCTTATGAAAAATAAACTTAACGAAATGATTTTGTTTCTTTTCGTAACGAAACGAAACTTATAATATTGAAGCCGCATAAGCTGTTAGTTAACATTATTTTAAAATGGCCTCTAGCTATGATATTACCAGCAAACTACCATTTTAACATTTAACAGTATCTGTTAACGATTGAACATTAACCACAGCTCTGTGTTTTGGGTGAAAACGAATTAAAATAAATTGTTATCGTTTCAAACCGAACCAATTGAAATTTGTTGATTAACGTAAAATTTATCGTTACAATACTGGTTTGAAACAATCATAGCTGAATGATATACGAGCAATTTTGTTAACTGATATTTCGCAATTTTTCGGTAAGTTGAAAAATTCTATTTCATTTTCGTCTGTTAGATCGGAATCGAAAGCGAAACAAATATAACCGGAATGTGCTCAGGACTATATTGTTGAAGTGGCAGCAGTACGCAATTGAGATCTTTCAGTTTTTATTCAGATCAAAAAGTAACGTAGTAATGACAGTAGATCGTCGAATCAACAGTTTGACTTCTTGGAAGCAACTTTAACTTGACTACACACAATCTAACTCACCCTTGTGGTCTTTTTTGGAGCTCTGAATGTCGATTGATGGCACCTAATCTGTTTGATCCATTATCGCTTTATGACAATGTTCTTTAATTGCTATTTATTGTTAACGATATGATTATCGATATGATTCTTCCTTTCAGATGATAGATTACTTGAGACCTTTTTCATTTGTTCCATTGATGATGTCTTTATCTCCTTAATCGTAAAGTATAGTCGTCCTGTCATGAACCTCTCACAGGAGACCCGGTCTGTGGTATGCGGGCACCCTTACTGTATAGTTTTTTGTTGCCAAAATTATCGTGAAATATGTATGAGCAGGGTTGTCATCATCAAAGAAAACTGGATGTAAACTATTATTTTCTTTTTCCACCGTCGTCAGATCTGTTTTCTGCAAACTAAATAAGAAATCGGCCGCCACAATTGTCGAGTGTTACGCATTGCGTACTGCCATTCTGAGGGTCAGGGTTTGATTCCTGGTTCGATCAACATCAAAAATTGTAGAAAATTTATTTTTCTAGTCTGCTGACAGGGAATGTCAACCCCTCCGAGTGTATTTCGGACATGAAATGAAACCTTCTTATAAAAATCCATCGGCTGTACGGGGGCCACAAAGGAAAAACCTCTAGGTCCCTACATTTGTTGAAGAAACATCAAGACGCATGTCATAAATTAGAGGAGAAGCTAGTCGGAATATAATTTCAACGGTTACAAAGAGCCAATTATTTATATATACGTACATATGGAAGCGATGCGAATGGGTCTGGTAGTGAACTAGGATGAAGAAGAATTAACAGTCACCTGCGCACGAGCAATTATTTGATTCTACAGCACGGTAGATAGTCATAACTTTGAAGTACTGGACCACTTGTCTATCAGCGAACCAGCATCAATAGCAAAGCAATCCAGAAAACCCAATGCGGAATCGATCATGCCAATAAGTCCTACATGGGACTGAGTAGACAATAAAAATATAAAGTACTACATCCGATAAAGAAATACGCAACTCTAGAAGTCGTTCATCATTCTTGTCCTACTATCTGTTTCAGAATCGTTGTCGAATCGAGAACCGCCTTTGGAACACTTTGAGAAAAAGGTTATGCGAAATATTTATGATCTTTGACGCTTTGAAAATTATGAATACCTCAGAAAATAGAATGATGAGCTGTACAATACTCGTATGTAAGTTTAAATTGACAGTACGGCGAATTAAGAAACAGTGGCTACCTGGCTAGATCAAATGGTCCGGATGGATGAGAACCCTCCAGCCTTTAAAACGGGTTAGCAAAGGAAAAAGAAGACCACAACTCCAAGAGCATGAACAGGTTAACAGGAGGACCTGGCTACATTTGATAGGTTCGATTGGCGCCAAGAGTTTAAAGCTGATGCATATGTGGGTAGATAAGTGTAGCCAATAAACCGCCAAACCTTCTATGATTGCAAAAAAGGTGTGACAATTAACATTAGATTAGCGTACAACAAACAAAAAAAAAAAAATATTACTGAAAGCAAGAGCGTGGCTGTCAGAGTGCGCTTTGGCTAAAATAAGCAAAAATATTTCACACATCAAAGTATGCTTGTATGCGTGTAGTAGTTTGCAAATAATACGAATAATTTAGAGAGCGATCAACTAACAACTACCGAACTGTCTAACAACACATCTGACGTCATGACCAATACTAGCGGCGAGTATGTGGCGGTGTCATAGATACGACCATAATTTATAGCTACAACAGCCGGCGAACGATATGCAGAAAAACCTAAAAAAAAAAACTTGGAAGAGGAGCTAATAACCGAACGGAATTGAATGGTATCGCAAGCAAATCAATGAGAGAGAGCTCACACATCCAAATCTCATGGTCAAAGCTGATAAGTTTCAGCGACTCATAAGCGCTTGGCAGACTTTTTGTTGTGAGCGCGATGGCCTTTTGCACTTTAAAGCCTGATTCACAACTTTATATTGTCGCCGGCGATTATTCTGCGGTGTTTGTAACACATAATCAGTATAAAGAACACATTCGTGTACAAATGTGTGTGTGCATGAAATATTGTAGAAATTTTTGCGACGCGCGAGTTGCTGGATTGAAAGCATTTGCTATTGGCACTCAACTCGCTCGCATTCCGCTTAACTTTTAATATTGCCGTTGCGCGTACGCAGTTTCATTGTGGTACGGACTGGTGGCGTGTGCTAAAGTCTTCCCGGTGCTCCGTGTTCTGTTTTGTACCGCGTGGTAGTGGATCGCACACGCGCGCTCGCCGATTCTGTTGGTCGGTGGTTTGTTGTTTTGAAATTCAGCAGACACTACGCGAAATAAAATTGTGTTGATGGTATTTATTTTAGTAAAAATAATAATAGTAAATTAATTCGACATACATATATTACTAATGTTCAAATGCATTTGCTTCAAATATCTAATTATTAACGCTTCACGCTTTATATTTATTTCAATGCCGAATTTACTTTTTTCACGATTACTACTTTTCATTAATTTATCGTTTGTTTGTAAAAGTGGTTAGACTAGTCTGTTGTGAATGTTTGCGAAAACGCGTTTGCTGATTTGTCGGTGAAATTTTTTTCCATTTTTTTTCGGTGCTCTAACGATTTGTTGTAAAACTTACCACATTCGTATATACAAATAATGAATTTATTAAAAAAATATTCACTAGTTGTAATAATATAATATTATTATTCTGAAACAGCGAAGCTGCCGTTAAGTTTGAGGTGAAATTGAAATTGAATTTCAATATTTGTTAAAAAAAAACCAAAGAGAAGACACACATTCATAATTATAAAAATGGCTGTGGATTACGTGCTCGAGGACCTAATGGCTAAGCTTGGTAAGTGCCTTCAACAATATAAGACCATAAAGACCACACAATGCAATAAAAAAGAATCAAAAATAAATAACAGAAATAAAATTAAATAAAAAAAAATATATAAATTGCATTAATTAAATAAAATAAAATAAAATGAAATAGAAAAATATTAAAATATAGTAAAAAAATAACAAAATAAATTAGATAATATAATAGAAATGAAAAAAAAAATTAAGTTAAGAAGATATAATAATAAGAAATGTATATAACATATGTATATATGTATGATAACAAAAATAAAATAATAAAATATAAAATTAAATAGTAAAATCATAAAAAACAAACTTGGAAAAAATTAAAACGAAATTAAATTAAATAAAAGTACGCAAAATAAAATTAAAAATAAAAATAAAACAAACGAAAATAAATTCCAACAAATTTATATAAATTAAAATTGAAAAAATGAAAATAATTACATTAATTTCATTAAAAATATAACATAAAATAATTAAATATATGTAGTACAGCATGAAAATTGTATTAAAAATATTAAATTAGAAACAATTAGATTAAAAAAATTTTCTTAGAATAAGTTTAATTATATACAATAAAATTTAAAGTGAAAATATGAAATGAAATAAAATAAATTTAAAAAATACAAAAAAGTTAACCAATTAAATTAATTGAAATGAAATTAAAATAAAACAAAATAAATAAAATAAATAGAAATAAAAAGTAAAAAAAAAAAAAACAAAATAAAATGAAGTATATATATAATTCAATAAAATAAACAAATTATAACTAAATAAAATTAAATAAAATAATATAAAACAAATTTAAAATAAAAAATTAAGTTTCATAAAAGAAAATAGTTAAAATAAAATAAATAAAAAAATAGAAAAATTAAAAAAAAAATTATATAAAATAAAAGATGAAATAAAACAAAATAAATTAAGCAAAATAAAAATAAGTAATAAAATAATAAACTAAAAATAAAGATAAAATTTAAAAAAATAAAAATAAAATACAAAAATTTAAAAAATTATATAAATTAGCATAAAATAAAATAAACTAAAGTTAAAGAAAATATGAATAAATAAAATAAAATCTATTATATTTGTATACTTAAAAATTAAACAACTAAATGACAATAAATTGAAATATAAAATATAAATATAATGAAATGCCACATAATCCTATAAAATAAATTAAAACAAAACAAAATAAAGTAATTTAATTTAAAGTGAATTGAAATATAATCAAATAAATATCATATTCAATAAAATAAAAAATAATAATATAACACAAAAATAAATAATATGAAATGAAACAAAAAATAAAGTGAAATTAAATTAAATTAAACTAAATTGTAATATAATAGAATTAATTATGGCGAAATGAAATATATTTATGCATAGTTGCATACAAAATTAAAAAGCATAGAAAATAAAATAAAAATAAAATGAAACAAAGTGAAATGAAAAAACTAAAAATAAAATAATTAATTCAATTAAGCAAAGAAATGATTTATTTTATTTTTATTTTATTTTTGTATTTATTTTTATTTCATTAATTTTTTTTTTTCAATTTTATATTTATCGTATTAATCTTTTAATATTAGTTTAAAAACATAATTCAATGTAATCAAATAAAATAAAATATAATAAAAAAGAACAATTGCCTGATTTTATTTGATTTTAGTTAACTAAATTTTTTTATTTTAAATTTTGAATTAGAAGTTTAATGCGTAAAAATATAATTAAAATATATTAACTCAAACTAAAAAATTTAATAACTAAAGAAAAATATTATAACTACAAAAATTCATTAACATTATATTAAATAAAACATTAAAAAAATAAATGGGATATTTCTTAAGAGTTTTTTATTTTTATTTTTTATTTGGAAAGAACAAAATAAAATGCACTTGCAAATATTTGTACATATGTTAACACATATCTAAATATACGTGTGTATATTTATGTCTACAGCCATGAATATTTCCGAACCAAATTCTCATAAACAAGAAAACGAAAGCTTGGACAAAGCAGACAAATATTTGGTAGGCGGCGAATTTTTTCTCTTCTCCAAAATGCTCTCAACTGCCGGCATCGAATTGTTTATGAAATACAACTGAAAAGTGACATGGACTTTGCGCTAAACAGAAACGTATTTATATTTAACTGATAACAAAGTGGCCATCTTTTGCACAAAAAAAACGAAAGAATTTATTTCCTTCAAGCGAAAAATCCAAGTCTGTGGAAAATTTTTCTGTAATACTTTTCCGATTAATTCTTATATACATATATACTCGTAAAGAACATTTATGTGCTCGTTTGTGTATTGAAAATTATTTTCAGTAACATATAAATGAAACGTGGGCGCCTTAGCCGCGTGGATTGAAAGGTGATCATATTTGGCACCAACGACTTGAGCGAATAATTACAAGAACTCTTGAAAAATTTATGGTAATTTGTAAAAAAAATATTTGCTTTAAACGTTTAAGTCCATATGCAACTTCTCCCAAGTTTACTAATTTAGAAAACAATTTTGAAGTATTGTTCGACGAGTTGTAAGCTCAATTGCTTTCGTTCATATTTTTTTTTTTTTCAAAATTCGTGTATTTTAAAAAATTATAACTGTGTTTAATTAGTTCGTAAAGTGATTAGTGATTAAAAAAAACAAAAAAGTTTGGTTTATTGAAAGGAATTCGAAAGACTCAAAATAGACAAATAGCTTGCATTAAAGTGCTGATCATAAATGTTAACAATTCCAGCATTATTTACCCAAATCCGACATGCATACAAACATTGTATTTGCCGAGAGTGCTAATGGCTACACTGAATTTAGTTTAGTTAAATATTTACGCACAGAAATAGGAGTAGTTATGTACATATGTACATACACGTGTATAGATATGTGGTATATAAAAGCGTAAATACTCTAAAACCATCAACCACACGCTTATCAATTGAACTTGATTATAAATATTGTTGATAACTCTGCAAAGCAGTAACCCCCAAGGAAATAAGAAGATCAACCCGATGGGGAGAATATAAAATTATTTACTCAACATACCAGAGCAAGACGACAATATAATTCTGTATTTGCTAGAACTCGAGCTGTCAGCACTCGCACACTTGTTTATTGCTCAAAAACTTGAAACTCGACAAATTTTGAGCACGACCACGAACTATTCGAGTTTTTTCGATCATTTTAGACAAATATTTTTAACCTTTTCTAAGTCCTTTTTCCAATAAGTTTAAATATATTTAAGCAAAGTGTAAACCCCATTAAAATACTGAATAGATTTTGACAAATAAAATTTAAATTGCAAAATTTCAAATAATCATTTGAGCGAGTATCGAGTTGTGCGCAATGCTAGATACGCGCTATTGAGCTCTAGTATTAATAATAAAAAAAAAAATTATAGACGAAAATTCTAATGAAGTAGTTCCTTTGGCGGCTAAAAGCTTTTCTTTTCAAGTATTTAAAACAAATAACACTCTTTAAGTATATTGATAAAAAAAATCTAAACGGCAAACATTTTGGATTTTATACAAAAATTTCACAGCAATGTGATCTTATCTCTCGAGTGTCTTGCTAATCGTCGTTGGGTATTTTTCTCTTGAATGGAGGTTTTTATGAGTTGCGGTGCCAGTTGATAATTTTATCGCTGGCAAATTTGATTTTCTAGTTTTTCAAATTTGATTAGTAACACAATTATATTTCGATTAAATAAAAAAAACTTAATTTTAATTGCCAATTCGTTCATAAAATTTTCACTAAGTGCCCTTATGTTTAACTGTGATAATTCAATGTTTTACTTATACACTGAAGATTTGAGAAAGAGTTTTGCGTCAATCGATCTTATTTAATTAGGGCATTCTTTAAGGTTTGTTTCTATAATCTAATTTTAGATTAAAAAAAAAAAAAACAAAAAAATAAATACACTTGCAAAGCTTTCAAAAAAAGCAGCTGAATACATATGTGCATATATTTGTATGTATGTACCAAAATTGTGTGCTTTGTCATGTGTCGTTTGTATTTTAAAACATTTATAAAAAAAATATAAAGGTGTTTTGTTACTTTGAAAAATTATCCAATTACGTATCTCTCTTCAAAAGTACTCACATCTGATAAAATGAAAATAGAAAACTTTTCGAAACTCCCCACGTTTGTTTAAATATATCCCTTATTTTAGAATTAAAAAAAAAGTCAGGCAAAAAGTAATCCACTATTTTCGCAATAGATGGCTTTAATGATCTGTATTTCACTTTCTTTAATTTTGCTAGCTAACATTAAAAAGATGATATTTTGTACTAAAATTGGTAATGGTTGAAGTTTTTATCCCTTAACTCAGTACTGTTTGAGCGCATGTCAAAGATTGGCCACCAGCAAACAGAAAATACGCAAATCAGGCAGCTTAAGGAGCACACCTTGTGTAATGGTCTAAAAAAATGGTGATTTTTGGGAATTTTTATTAAAAAAAAATACTTTATCAATTAATTCAAAATTTTAAAAATATATTAATACATATTTCAAGAATATACAGTGAAATTTTTGAAGAAAAAAATTAAATATTTTTATAAGTTATAGTCGGTCTCCAACGGCGCGAAAAAAAGGTCCTTCACAGCTGCAGTGATTCCGGCCTTCTAAAAAAAAAAATTCTCTACTAGATAATATTGTCTGTACAATGACCTACGAAAAAAAAAAAATAAAAATTGACAATATGGCGGCGTTTAAAAAAAAAATAGTCGAATTTTACCCAAAATTTTGGTCGTTTTTGGCCTGCCAAAATTCGATTTTTTGATCAGATCATAAATCGATAGGTCATTGTACGGAGAACTATATATTAAACATGTAAAAAAAATCGATAGTGATCGGAGCATTTATTTTTGAGTAATCACTGCAGTAAATTCGGAAACTGCCGTTTCGAGAAAAACGCGTTTAAAGATAAAATGATCGTTTACACTCGTAGCTAATGAGACTCTCTAGCTGCCGAGCGGCTGCTCTTTAAA